CTCATATCTTTGTCGAATGGGCACTATACTATTTGTGAGTTCTTCTATGGTCAATCATTGTTTGATGGTATATCGAGCAATGAAATCCTTAGTATATTGTAGTTTTAGGATTCAGTCTTCTCTTATGTTCAATATTGAGAATTGAGAGTTTTTTTGCTTTGCTTTGCTTTTGATACTATGTTATGTCCAGGATGAACTTTTGCGAGTGTATTTATGATTCTTGGGCCAATGGGGAACAATTATATACCATTCTTGGGTATAGTATATATATCATTTCATTGTTATAACAGTAACAGGACTATGTAATTTACCAAAAATTTAACACGACTGAGGAGGAGTTCAATTTAAATAAAGTAAGGGTTCAAAAAGGGCTTTTGCTCCTCCATGGCCTAAAAGATGGGTACGAGTATAAAAATTGCAATGGCGGATTTCTATCGAAGATTCCTATTAAAAGAGGACACTTCTCTGTTTCGGTAGTTGGTAAATAGTGGTAGTACGGGCATGAGAAGCATGATTGCTATAAGTTGTCTCTATTTAAATAAATGTTTGATTGTATAAATTCTTTTACATGTTGAAATTTTTCAAGGATCACATTTTTACAGTGAAATATGTTAAAATTATTAGTGGGCTCATATTAATTAGTCAATTTTCTCAATTTTTTTATTGGTATTTTTTGTGTTGTACGGTGCTTTTTTGGTATGGACAATTGTTTGCGAATTTTTTCTAAGTTATATAGTGTCTTCAGACACAGGCAATTACTAGTCTATCTAATAAAGTAGCTTAATTATTTGTTTTGAGCTTTTCGTGGTTTAAATTATTTGAGCATTATTGATTTGACGATCCTAATTGAATTTTTATTTCTTTTATAACTCTAAGTCTCTCATATCTCGTATAACTCTTTCTCTTTCTCTCTCTCTTATCTCTTTTAAATACACTATATCTAAATAATAAAGTAGCTAGATGATTTGTCTTTAATTTTTTGTGATTCAGATCATTTGAGAATTATTGATCTAACGATCCTAATTAGACTTTCATTCATTTTACAACTCTAAGTCTCTCATATACCCAACTCTTATATATGTATAACTCTTTCTCTCTCTCTCTCAGACATTTTAAGCACATTTTCCCATCTCTCATTCTCTCTCTCTCTCTCTCTATGTATAAACCATACTCTATCTCTTAACATTGTTTGTCTTGACGATTCTAATTGAACTTCTTTACTTAAAAAAATTCGAAGTCAAGCTAATCATCAATAAAAAAATAACAAGTGATATCAATTGCACAAAAAAAAAACAGAATCAAGTTAATCACCAATAAAAAAAAAAGTAAAACCAACTGTACCAAAAAAATAAAAAAAAAAATCAGAGCCAAGCTAATAACCAATAAAAAAATAATAAGTGATACCAATTGTACAAAAAAAACTAAAAAATTCAAAATCAAGCTAATTACCAATATAAAATATAATTGAAACCAACTGCAAATATATATATATATATATATATATATATATTCAAAACCAACTATAACATTTTTTTTGCTTATTTGTATAACTTTTCCCTTGCTAATGTTTATATTTTTTTGAATACTTGAATAGTGCAAAATAAAAACCGAAACAACAAAAAGTCAATTAAATTAATTTTTTTTAAGTGGTGAAATTTTGATTTTGTTGATTTAGTTTAATCGTAGCGTGAGAATATTTCTATAGAATCCAAAAAGTCACAACAACAGAGAATTCAAATCAATTTTCTTTGCAACTACAAGCAAATCCACTAGGCAATGTTAGTTCGATTAAACTTTTTTCTATTTTTCGGAAATTTGATTTGTAGTTCAATGTGATTAATTTATTTGATTGGATTCAATGATTTAATTATGTTTTTAATGATATTCCTTATTAAAAGTAGACAACCTATTCATTAGATTTAGTCAGATGTTTAAAAAATGAACACTCATTTGGTGGAAAGAAGAGTCATCATGAAAAATTTTATGGCACGATAATTTTGTAATGGTGTTAATTTAAATTCATGGGGATTCTCAAATTGTATTAATGTGATATGATTCTTCTTCTTTTCAACCATTGAACTTTTTTTATTTAAAACATTCTTGGATGCCCTATTTACTTTGACAAATTTTTTTGACAAATTTTTGTGTTAAGAGTGCTTTCAGGTACAGGTATATATATATATATCCTATCTCTTAGATGTTTTAAATACAATCTCCCAAATACACACTCATATCTCATATAATTCTATCTCTCTCTTACAGACACTCTCTCTATCTCAGTCATTTTCTTTTGTGAGTGAATGTTATGTGTTAAATGAGTATTGTTATTTTCAATGTTTTTTTATTCAAAGTTTACCGCTTTGACATGATTTTATTATTGCTAAATGTTATGTGTGAAATATGCTATTGCTATTTTTCGTACTTCTTAGTCATACATTTTTATGATTTTATTGAAGAGAAAATATTTAAATGTTAAAAAAAAAATTTCTTAGACATTCAAAACCAAACTAATCACAAAAACCAAAAAAATTCAAAACTAGGCTAATCACCAATAAAAAAATAATAAGTGATATCAATTGCACAAAAAAAAAAATCAAAATCAAGCAAATTACCAATAAAAAAAATAAATGAAACCAATTGCACCAAAAAGCAATATTCAAAATCAACTATAAAAAAAATTTTCCAAGTCGTAAATTGCACCAAAAAACAATATTCAAAATCAACTATAAATTTTTTTTTCCAAGTCGTAGGCATTCAAACTCAAGCTAATTACCGATAAAAAAAATAACAAAGCCAAATATTTGAGTAGTTTTATAGAATGAAAAAATATTTGAATGCTAAAAAAAAAAACTCCAAGTTGTAGACATGCAAAGTCAAGTTGAACCAAAAACAAAAAAAAAAAAAAATCAAAGCCCAAGCTAATAGCAATAAAAAATAACAAGTAATTAAATTTATAATTATATTGTGTTATTCGATTGAATGATGACAATGGTGATAAATTCATACGTCTTATAAATGAGTAAGATTTTATTTATTACTTAAAAATTATAAATTTTATTAGATTTCATTAGTATTTTTTTTCCCGAGGTATTTGTATATGTGATATTATTTTGGAGAATTTTTTTTATACATTTTTGGGATAGTTCTATTAACATGAAGAATATGATCGACAATATATTTCGAGTCATTTTAAAAGAATTGGTATGAATGTTTTTGACCTACTTTCTTTTTCAAGATGAACAATTACTTGCGATTTTTTTATGGGTTATATAGTGCGTTCAGGCACTTTCAATGACTAAGCCACGAAAAGCTAAACACAAATAAATCTAGCTACTTTATTATATAGATGTTTCATCATCTCATTTTACATTTATATTAAATATAATTAATTTTAATTTTATTTATTTAATTAATCATATCAAATATCTCAAACTAACAAGTCTTACAAATATTTGATACATGTAACTTGTGAATAAAAAATTGAACACTAATTTTTTAAGAAAAATTCAACGCTAATGTATCCTTATAAATTAAAAATTCATATGATCTTTATGCGAGTAAAATTAATTGAATCGAGTGAAACAATTTCTTAATTTTGTAATTTATACTGATAAGAAAAATAATATTTTACAAATGATATTTTTGTAGATTATTTTTTGATAGAAATTATTTTGGCGGTATGATTTTTGATAGATTGGATTTTTAGTTTGAATTAGATTTGAATCGACTTTGATTACATTGGATATAAATTAATGTTTTTTGACCAATTATTCGAATATGAATTTAAGTCAATTATATCCTATTTTATGGAATTATATTTAAATATACTTATTCATTAAGTCAATTAATTTCAGTTGAATTCGAATATAAATTATTCAAAAGAAAATCTTTCAAGTATTTGGATTAAATTTAATATTATATTTTTTTATTGAATTAGAATTATAATATCAAATTTAATCCAAATACTTTGACAAAATTTCGTATCAAATATAAGCAGAGCCCTTATTAATATTTGTTATATCTGGTCTTGAATTTTGGGAGCCTCCCGAAGGGTCTTGTATTGATACCACACCGGTTGGGCTACCAGCACCAAGTTCTGTTATCAAAGAACAACAGATGAGCCGTGCCCGGGAAAAAAGAGCGGTGAGGTTAGCAGTTGACCACCATACCATTTTAAAGTCGCGGATTCAAACTTCAAACCTCATCGTCCCCTCTCAATAATAACACCTGACCCAAAAAAAAAAGGGTAGGCTAGCTCAAAACAGGAAGCAGGGTTGTTTTCAAACAGGTTTCAGAAAACAAACCCAATTGGTTCTTCAAAAAAGAAAAACCAAAGCTCAGAGCCTAATACAATGGTCCATAGCTGATCTGTTTCACGTATTTGAGAAAAGCTTCATTCACAAACAGGTAATGGCCTTTGATTGTTATTCAAAGGAAATTCAAAAGGCCTGAATGTCAACCTCAATTTCTATATGAAACAAATATTGTTGCAAACCACTTGATATTAGCCAATGGGCCGAGAAAAGGTATACGACAAACTATTAGCCCATGAGACGGTCATTTCATTTTTATACGAATCGTGATATCTTATTTGTTTTCATTTCATCACTAACTAAAGAAAATAATATTTATTTACAAAAAGAACATGGTGCTGCTCTACAGCTTGAGTTTTATAACATAGTAATCTCCTCCGAATGCAAGGGAGGAGTTATAGAGCATTAGATAACACCTCCCTCCGTACATCTATAAATATATCAGAAAAAAGTAAATAAATCAAATCACCAATTTGCAAGAGAACACAGATAATTTACCCAGCCACCCCACATCTCAGCTTCTAGCTTCCACCAAATTTTCTGGCTATACGTGGCCAAGCAGATTGTTGCGCTTTTGCTACATTACATTTTGAGACGTGACAGTGATGGACTGTGAGTCTGACCTTCATGCAACAGCACAAGGAACTCCAAATGCTTGGCAATACAGTCACTAAGGGTCTTCAGCATTCACCGGATCTGAGTTCTTCCAAGAGATGATGCTCCAATTTCACTTTCAGTGTTCTGCACAGAAAGCTCCATTTATGAGATGTTTATTGTTTTTTCATTGACGGACTTCCCTCTTTACAAAATTCCACAAAATTGACAAACCACCTTTGAATTTTTACCCTTTCCCATTCCCTGATTGTAGTTTCTCAAGTTTTAATCATCTCTCTCAAATCTATATGTGTTTCCATATCATTTCTACATTTTGACTATATACTAGGTATTTTATTTATGTTTTTAAAAATTCTATTTTGCTACATATTTTTCTGGACTCATTTTTCCAGTTCGTAGGTCTTATCCTATGATCTTGATTCTTTAACCTCCCCCATCTATCCAAGGTAGGATCCAATTCTAAAAACATTTTCAGAAAGTACTCAAAAAGGAGGGAAAAAGGTTAGACAATAAAGCAGCCATTACACTAATCAATTCCTGAGGACATACAACTAGCTTATTTCTGTCAATCAGAAACCCGGGCTCTGAAATTGGCATGAGGAGATGGTTCGGACAAACATTGAATAGAGTCCCCATAAAACTTTTCTTGACCTAAGCAAATTACTTACCTGAGATTTAGGAGAAGGGAACACATTCCAGAACCTAAGAGTTTCATCTCCTGCTCCTGTCACAATTGTCTGCAGCAACAATCATTATGAAGTTAAAAAATACAGGCATTAAAGAGACAAATAGCAAAAGCATAAATGGAAATAAACTAATTACATCTTCTCCTGATGCTTAAAAATAAAAGGTTAATATGCTACCTGTCCATCTGGTGAGATGGCAAGGTAAAGAACTCTATATGTATGGCCAGTAAGAGTTGCCAGCTGCATAAAGAGAGGAAAATACAGAAAAATATTATTGCATGTAGATGTGCACTATTTCATAGGGCCATGCTCAGACTTTCATACCTTGGACATTGTAGGATATCTCCAAACTATAATTTGGTTTTGGGAGTAACCGTGGGTGCTAACAAGTTCATTGACATTCTTAGACCACACAAGATTGCATACCTGCCATAGGTACAACAGCAGTCAGTACAACTTAGTAGTTGTAGTCAGAGAAGGGGAGTAAGGGGCATGTATATATTCACTTGTATTGAATTCCCTTTTTCGTTTTGCTCTTTTCCATGTAAGAAAAGCTATGCAGTATCTTTCATTCTTTGATTATAAACGAGATTCATGACAAACCCCATGATTTTGCGCTCTTTCCATACAAAGTCTTTTTGGTCTTGTAAATTCATTTTTTTCCTATTTAGAGAGAGGGGGCTTCAAGTTCTTAGGAAGAACCAATTACTGAATAGCTTCCCAATGGTATGTTCTGGGTTTGTTTCAATAGGTGATTTTGAGAATCAACCAACCCACAAATCCGTCCATAAAGAGGCCATGTATGATGGATTTCACTGCACCACACTATCAACACTATACCCTATTTCTTAACGCTAGGATAGGGAGATGCTTGATTTATAAGTGCGAACCTGGATCTCATTTTATCATATAAACAGTTACAGAACACGTGATTTTCTCACCTTTTTTCCTTCTGATGCCCTGTGATATATGTATCCATCCCACTTGCAACTAACACGTATACCAAGATATAATTATTATGCAAGATGAACAAAACAAACCAAGTTATACAATGAAACTAAACTATATGTCTAGCCTAGAAGACCATATTATTCAAAATGGTCAAAAGAATTCTGCTCCTACGAAGAAGTTAAAATAACAGGCTACTAATATAAGCTCTCATTTACTAAGCATGAATAAAAATCATATGCTCTGGTGTACTAAGGACAGAAATGATAAAAAGATTCACCTGACTGCCAGTGTCCATGCAGCTAAGCTGTGAGTTAGTGGTGGTGTTCCAGAAACGAATGCATCGGTCAGCAGTACCACCGCCAGAAGCTAGGAGTCCATGAAGATGAGGGGACCATGCAATTGCTTTTACAGCAGCTGTATGTGCACAGTATTTCAGCACAGGTTGTGTTGAATGTTGGGTCCAAACGAAAAGCTGCCCAGAGACAAACAATTTCTCAATCAGGTGTTACTAGTGCATACTATTAAGTTCAGGAAAGAACAGTAATATGTAGCAAGCATGATCGATTAGCTAGAAGAGAACAAAATCACATACCCTATTATCATTTCCACCAGATGCCAACTCACGATTATCATATGACCACTTCAATCCACAAACCTAAACCACAATCAGATGATATTCAGGCCGAGAAGAAACTCAGAAATACGAAGATACAATAAATTTTATCCAGTTAAAAAAATACCAAAAGGTACAATTGACCAAGATGTTCAATAAGCCGAATTAAGATGGGTGCCTGACCTCTGATTTGTGCCCAGATAGTTTACTGACAAAATCTTCCTGTGCACGTACATCTCGTTGAAGGATACTCTTGTCCCGGCTACCTGAAGACAACAGGGATGAACTCCAGGCTAGTGCCCCGACACGTAATCGATGTCCATCCATAGTTCTTACCCTCTTACAGCAAGAGGCATCCCAAATCTTTGCAGAAAAAAGTCAATGCATCCGTTAAATAACATTGGACAACAAAGTACAATGACTAAAGATATGGCACATGACCTAAATGCAGAAATGTGTCTCAGTTTCTTAGCCACTGTTCAAGATACTAACAAATTTTGACACGTGGAGGTCAGGTAACTAGCATGTTTGAACTCCAAGCAAAGACACCTTGCATACTGAAGAGATGGTACTAAATTTTGTCCCAAGTTTTATTAGCTAGAAGTAAAACTAGTGTTCTAAGTCAAAGTTATCAGAACCGGACCGGTCATCTAACTGGCAAAAGAACCGGGTCAATGGTTCACTGGTTCAACTGGTCGAACCGGTCACATAATAATATATATATATATATATAATAATTATAAAACATAATAATTTAGCTAGAAAATATAAATATGTCTAAAATAAATATAATTTGCCATAAAATTAATGAAGTTAAGTAAAAGAAACACGTGTCAAATATCAAAATTCAACTTTAAAGCTCCAAACTACTAACCAGTCAAGGACATTACTATAATATTTGTTAAAAGCCTACCTGATACCTGATATTTTCTATGGCTCTGGGACCCAACACGAAATCCATAGCTCAGTGGGCAATTCCATTCCCACCACCAAAGGCCATGCCTTCAGCAACTATAGAACCAAGCGCTGGTGGAGGAGCAGGAGCAACTGGCTATGGAGGCTTACGTGGTGGAGAGCGGGTAGCAGGACGAGGAGCTGACCTCATTGATCTTCCTCTGGAGCTTTGGCGACGACCCAACAAAGATCTAGTTGAAGACGAATAGGCAGCGATTTGAAGAAGAGAGGCTGGTATGTAGGCAGCGATTTGAAGAAGAGAGGCTGGGATTTAGGGCAAAAATGCCCAAAATAGAATTTTTTTTTTAACAATTGCAATCTAACCGTCCGGTTTGAACAAACCGTCCGGATCACCGGTTTTAACAAAAATCTGGCGGTTTAATGGTTAACACAGTTCACTTGCCTAGACGGTCCAACTTAAGAACTGGACTGGTCTATGCCCCGGTTTACGGTCCAACCGGTCGATCTGGCCAATCCGGTTCGGTTTTGATAACACTATTATGAGTTGACAGAAAAACCCTAGAGGAATTTATCCCTATCAAAACTGAAATCCACATATCTCAGTAATTCGATACCCTAGCAATAGGCAAGAACACCTTTGGACCCATAAGTTTGCCTATGTCTTCATCTTCAGCTGTGTACTGTATAAGTGCGTGTGTGCCTTAGTTACTTTCTATAGATGGTGGTTTGATGCGGGGGCAGCTTAAATTCTTTTTGCAAGAGATCTGTTTGTAGACAAATTTCCAAGTTTCATAACTTGAGAAAAAATGGCTATGGCTAGTTACACATGCATACCATTACCTATTAATTCCTGATTTGTAACAATTCAATCAAGAGCCAAAGTCTATAAGAATGAGAACCAAAAGACTATCTTGGTTCCTTACAAGGTGAACACACACCTTGTCAACTTCATATATAAGTCCTGTTTACAGGAGAACTCCAAATTCCTAATAGCTCCTAATGAATCAAAGGAATGACTTAAAGCTCAAATTATTTCACTAACTGACATGCACCTGGCTTATGCACAATACTTCCATTAGTTAAAACTATAAGGTCCCATAGACTTATCATATCACACCTGAAGTTTGCCATTGCTAGTCCCCACAGCAAGATGTGTGCCTCGCTGAGCCCAACCAACTGAACAAACGCTATCGTCAATTCCCAAGTCACACAACTTTACCACCTGCATAGCATGCCAAGGGAATGTAAAACATAGACTCATCAGCACATAAATTCACTTACATATCTACATGAATACATATGTCCAAGATGGGAATGCCACCAAAAAGAAATAGCTCACCTTGCTACTAGAAGCATGCCATAAATAAACGCAGTTACCCAACCCCACAGATAACACATTATGCGAAGACCAGTCAACAAGATTCAGATAGAAATCATCTTGCAATGCAGGTGCATCCAGAACCTATCAAGAAATAACAGCCATAAATTCAAGAAAGTCAATAAACAAAACACCCCACTAACCCAAACCCAAATTCATAAGCAAAACCATAAATTCGCCACAATAGCCATAGATTAAAGCAATAATCACGAAACCAAGATCACCAAATTAACAAAGAAGTCACAAAACTAACCTTATAAGGCGACCTAGGAACCTTTCTTGGAGTTTTAACAGGGCTATGACTAACCCCAGGCAACTGATCATCAAACCCAAAAGGGGATAAAGACTGCAAAGACTGTCTCGTCTCGGTCTTGTACCGGAAAATATTACGAGTCGGAGGACTAAGATGCAAATTCTTCCCATTCAATCCCACAGCCTTATCGGGTGTTCCCGGAGGACCCACCACCGAGTCCGGACCGAACAATGCGGTCTTTAACAGAGTCGTATACGCATTGTTCGACTCCTCCGAGGAGGAATTCGTGGTCGGAGACAGGTCAAAGAGAGCGAAATTAGACCCAGATCGGCTTGGAATGAACCGGTCACTGTAGATGGCGCGCGAGGGCGACGGGTGGTAATTGAGACTGCTCATGAGGTCTACGTGGCGATTTGGGGTTTTGGGTTGGAGAGGGAGAGTGGGTTTGGACATTGTAGGTGGAAGATTGAGCTGTGAAGAAGAAGATGAAGAAGGAGGTCTGAGTTGTGATTGGGGACCTAAGGAGGGAATGTTGGAGTTGTCCATAAAGGATTTGGTTTGAGTTTAATCTCTGATTATCAGAGAGATAGAGAGAGGTTAGGGGCTTGTGATGGTGATTAGGGAGGGTTAGAGAGAGATAGAAACCCTAGGGAAGACAGAGAAAGCTTGGGAGCTGAAGAGAATGTTGGGTAATGGGATTTTAGGAAACAAGTTTTCGACGGTTTCGGTTGTTAGGAGACTTCACAAAGGGCTGTTATTTTTCCCGGGGAAATTAACCGAAGGGCTTTTTTGCGGGAAAACGAGAAGTTGGGCTCACCACGGCAAATGGGCCTGGGTTGGGTGTGATTTGACCACAGATCTATTTGGGCCTTCTACTACCCCTTTAAAAAATAAATTATTTTTTTTGGGCTTTTTGTATTTTATACCCTAAAAGATTTCAAATTTTTTATTTTATACATTGAAAGATTAAATTTTTTATATTATATTTTCAATGTATCAAGAGCATTGCAATGTGGCATTTTTGTTTGTTTTCGTTATTTTTTTCTTCAAAAGCCAACCCATTGATATTAATAAAAAAACCAATAGAAACCTAACAGAAGAGTCACATTACAATACTCTTGATACATTAAGGGTACAAATATAAAAAAATTAATCTTTAAGGATATAAAGTGAAAATTTTAAAATTTTTCAAGGTGCAAAGTAAAATTCATCCTTT